ATTTATAGTTATTATATCAATCATATATTTAAATATATTGTTAACTTTAAAATTTTATGTGTTATATTTAAAAAAATGATTGAGTTTAAAAAATGAATAGTAAAATAATTGATGGAAAATATACGTATACGTAATTCAAGAAGTTATGATACTAAAAAATATATGTTAAATAAATTTAACAATTTTTCATATTAAATAGATAACATCAAATTTTTATTAAAAATTCGTGATAGTATATTAATTAAATATGTATATATTATTAATAAATAAATTTATAACCAATAATATTTATATAGTTAAAATATAAAATTAAACTAAAAATAATACTTTAAATACTTTAAGTAGATACCTAAAGGTCACTGGTTAATGGGGCTAGAAATCAAACAATATTTAGATAGAATCTCCTTGAATTATATCAAGTATCACTACCAAAAAAACTGTTTTCTATTACGGCCGGAAAATCGTAACAAAAAGCCATATTTCGTGCAATTTGCGTATTTGCTACGCCTTTGTTACGACTTTTTTCCGTAATGTGTACTCGCGTAACGAATGTTTTTTGCCACGCCACTTTTCGTAACTATTACGATCGGTCAACGCTCCCTGAAGTATGGTATTTGTTACGATGTTTGTTACGAATTTTCTCTCGTAACGAAAGGTAGATCCTTCCGCGCGTGTGGCAGGACTTTTAGTTACGGTATTTGTTACGGAAGTTCCTCGCGTTACAAGTGTTTTCCATTGACCGGTTGTCAGAACTTGGTTTTTGTTACGACTATTTGTAACGGCATTGAACCCCGTAAAAAAAATATTACCTACTTATAGTCACGAAACCGTCTGTAACAACAAATATCCAAAGACCACTTTTTGTAACGATTTTCTGGCCTTTTGTTACGGAAAAATAGCGTATTGTGAAAAACAGGGGGTACGCTGCAATTGAAATTGTTCGTAACAAATGGACCTGCTGTGATGCGTATGATACGAAAATAAATTACGAATACAAAGATTGCTATAAACATCATCATCATTACGCCCCGCGCAAACATTAATTCATATTAAAATCTGAATTCCATACCTACCAACAAAGTAAAGCAACCCATAGAACAAGCCTACTAGTATCTACACATCAACAACCTGTTCCGCAAAACGTGCTTAACAGTTCAAACACAAGTAAACAACGCAATAAGCAAATACGGTTATCCATCAATCCCATTAGGCACATTTTTCACCATACGAATTCAAACCACAAAGGTCTACGCATCAATTCCAGACATAGTTCAACAAAAACTCAAGACAATCCATCCAAAGACAGGTTCGACATTCAATCCATATGACAAACGGGGCAATTAACATGGGTGTATCGGTACCAACATTTCAAGCCCGGCGCATGAGCTGCAATTGCCAACACAAAGATTACTTTAAGTCATACTTCTTATAAATTTCGGAAGGCAATACAAGAAAGGTATTAAAGTAGATCCTTACGTCCTTGTAGCTCCACTCAATAGGATCTTCGCCGACGACATCGCGAAGGGTAGTCGCCCCAGAAATGGTCGGCAAAATAAGGGGTGTGTCCGGGACTGACGCGGATGTCACGAAGACCTTGACCAAGGAAAGTGTGTCACCTACAGCATTCACAAGAGCAATTTTTGATTACATTCAAGCATATATATCAACAGACGTTCGAACTGTATATATAACATGTCATAACACAGACATTATAAGTGTAATACTGTGGAACTAGAACAAGAGGAGTACGTACATTCAGACATGTCGTACAGTACATGGTATTACATTCATGAGTTAGGTAGCGAAGCACATTATACCCTAATTTCCTATGTAATTGCAGCTTGATCTTTAAACCAAACATCCTTCAATAAACATGGGTCGTCATAATAGCAGTTATTTTACCACCCCTACATTAACAGTCTACATCGCTTTGGAAATCCACGGATCGTATCATTGTATACTTCTACACTTAGTGAATCCATGCTAATACGCAATATGAGGCCTGAACAGTCACGAAAACCTACGATATCTCGCTGAGGCATATTAAAAGTTTAATTAAACATCCTTAAAGATACCGGACCAACCTGGCCCAGGGGGGCAGAGCAGAAGTCCCTCTGCAACAACTTTTTTCTCACCGGTGGGGGATAATAGAAGCACATGTGTGCCGACCTACAACAGACAGGGCATATGAGTTGGATAAGGTAGTACGCAGTCAAGAGTAGCCTAAATTAGACACTGCACTGATTTCTAAGAAACTCCAGGGCGTCACGGAATCATACCGTCATGCTTGGCTCGGACACAGGCCTGGGAATCTCAGGGACTGAATCAATACGAGATGTGCCCTATCATATAACATGCCGAGGATGGTAAATTCCTTCGCCATCCAAATCTCATGGGATACTCATACCAAACAGGTCAGGGATTATGAATACTTACTGCCTGGCCAGTAACCGCTCCGGAGTTTCTGTGCATGAATGCATACACATCAGCCTTGATGGTTTTGAACTCATCCATCATTGCCTTCAGCTCCTCCATTCCATTCTGTAGTTGTTCCCACCCATGCTGGAATGCTACACTGTCTGTTAAACCAGTTGACTCGCTGCGGGGATGAACTGAACTTGCCGCACTGTCGACCTTTGACCGCTTCTTAATCTTTCCCCCAAGGGCCCGTCGGTACAGAGTCTCCCGAACAGAGGGAGTCCGCCCTTCAGGGGGAACCTTGTTTAGCTCATTCTGTAAATAAGTCTACAGGAAAGATTTAAGTGAGGCCGAACTTGCTCTTGTTGTTAGAGATGTAAATACTGACTGAATTGTAACTAAGTTGGGAACGAATTTATTCTACCAATATCTCCTCGGTTTCTTGGTCATCCTTTCCCTTGCCTTGTGTGCGACTGGAAATCCAAATCTCCAGATTGTCGGGGTCCTTCCCCTTTGCCTTGATCTGCAGCAATACAAGGCCTTCTGTCATCGAAAACATAATGAAATACAGGAGAGGAAAATATGGGGATGGAGCATGACATGACTAATTACTTAATTGTAATAAAAGGTACCTCCTCTGCCAGAGTCGTGAATGACTTCCGCCCAGTACGATGTGGAAAGCTTCTTTTCGCTACGTTCGACGCATTTTTCTTGGATTGAAGCTACGTCAATCAAAGTTATTTAGTTCTCAGTCCATGCCCGTGCAGATTTAACGTATATTAATTTGGCATGTCCCTATGCGTACCTTCACCTTCTCGTCGCGCCAATACTCAACCAACTTCGGCCACTGATCGGGCACAATCCTGCTTGAGGGAACCTTCTTCAGTGCTTCTTCATCGTCCTCGATCGGATTGAAGTAAGTTGATTTGATGCTGTATTTCCAGTGCCTCCAAACTTCCCTTAGGTCAGCCAAGACCACTTTCTCCGCTGAGTCTGGTAATCCGCTGTTACTCTGGAATGCCGTTTCACACGGTTTCCACCAGGTCCGGAGAAGATGGTAGGGCCATATATAAGAATCTATATGAAATAAAAGAACTTTCAATTTAATGAAGTTTGCATCACCTGAACCTCCATCCATGCACCCTGTCTCTTCGTCTCCGGTATCTCAGCGAACGTGGGGTAATGTAGAGGAAGTCGAGCTCCGTTGCGTGCAATGACCCCAATGGCTGTCTTGTACTCGTTTACGTCGGGTCCGACGATGCTTTTACCATCCGGCGATGTGAATACAAGCATCCTGTGATCTTTTCCCCATCCACGCGGCATTCGTGCCGCCCCTCTCCCCTGCTTTTTCTTTGACGAACCAGCTGACACAAACAGGAGATTACATGTTCTAATAAGGATATTACATGCAAAATATGAAGTCACTAAATGTAATCGGTAATCTTTGAAGGCTAATTTCCAAACCGTCGTGCGATGTCATCTCGTCCAATGGTGCCATATTGCCCGCCTCTGTTCCTGTCATCAGAGTGGGGTCGGAGCCTGGCCCTTCATCCAAGAGTGGCATATCACTCTCTGCAGTCTCCATGTCCTGCGTCGGCGGAAGTGTCTCGTCATCTGCTTGTGTGGGGGGGATTGTATCATCGTCATCCTGTGTCAGTGCCGTCGGATCAAAAAGTGATGGAACATCCCTATCATCATGTTCCTGTTGGGGTTAACAGTGTCAGCCTATTGTAGTGTTATACTGAGAGTTCAAATAAGGACATGCTTTCGGCAAAGGAACCACATTACCTCCAAAGGGCCCTCTGAATCCTGAAGCACTGCCCTTCGAGTGGAAGATGTTGGCTTCATGCTTTGACCACGAGCATCGCGCTCTTTCTCCCACTCTGATGTGATGGACAGGAGTCGCTGGAGCAGTGGCGAGACCCGAGATCCCTTCCGTTTTGTCACTTTCTTTGTGGGATTGCGGATGGGCGATGGATTCCTGCTTGCGGGATGAGTTGCCTCTAGGGGGCTGTTATGTGCGGATGCCCAGGTAAAACGTCTTGCGGGAGAGACTGCCGGATCCTGTGACCCTCCAACGGCAGCACGTTGAGATTTGCCCATAACCTGCAAGACACCAGTGTTAGTTGGCAGTATGAAAACGTATATTAGGAGAAAATCAAAACACACTTATCACAACAAAGCTTATGAAGTGACATATTACGAGAAATTCACATAATAGTTACTGCAATTAATCAGGGTAAATTGCTTCAGCATACGCAAACGGGGGTAAAGAGCTTATCCGCGTTGACATATTCGGAAAAAATCATAACATCCTGCGCGCGCATAATGGATGCAAAGTGCTTCAGCAAATCAAGCGAAAACAGGGCCTATGAACGATGGCATGCATGTCCGAAAGTGGTTACCTATTACGTACTTCAATCACCGACCCCCACTCCCCACATAGATGACCATCTGTTGAGATGTGTAATTTATTCTGAACTGCGAACTCAAAAAGGTTGCGTGGTTGCCAAACCATAAAAAATGGGCCAATTAGGCTATATTCGCATACTACCAAAAATGCCCGCTTATTTGATTCTGCGCTAAGCACCATCATCTTCGGAGGATTCCTCCGAATCCGAAGGCGAAGTATCGGCATGGTCCATCTGCCCTGCATCTTCTACTACTTGCCCCTCAATACCTTCCCTTAGCCAGTAATCGGCTGCTCCTCTAACATTGCCTCCGTCATCTAAAGGTAACCCTGTGCTGAATCTATGATCGATCGTACTATACACGTCATACGTGTCTCGCCGTGACACCGGAACGACAACGCTCCAACCTTCATCAACCGGGTCTGCAATGTACCACACCTGAGAGGCTTGGGTCGCTAAGATGAAAGGCTCATCCGTGGGCAAGTTCTTGGGGTACATCAAATACTTAAAGTTCACACATTTATATTTGAACTCATCCTCTTTAACGCCCCTCTCCAGATCCACCCAGTCACATTTTAAAAGGAGATACTTCTGTTGATTGCTATAGTACACTTCCACAATGTCCGTAAGAATCCCGTAATATGCCACGGAACCTTCTCGTGGGTTATGGTCCCTAGCTGAGGCATAACTCACTGTATCTGCCGTAACCATAACACCTGCACACTGTGTCCTCTTCCTTGCATCCCGGTCTTGAACACGATAGCGTATTCCTGACACAATGCACGAAGAGTACCGTGTTGCATTGCATAATGGTCCACCCGCCAATGCACGGATCTCCGCTGAGATTGGGCACTCATCATTATTCGTCGGATCATCTACCTACATTTGATGTAAAGTAGTTCATGAACACTCGTGATTTCAATGTTTTTTGGGAGTGTAGTCAAGATACCACGTACGGACGATGTAGGCAGTACTCACATATGATTGAAACCAAGACGCAAATTGTTCGTTGTGCTGCTGGTGCACCTCACGTGGGGGTGCGCGAGTTCGACATGACCTAATAGTATCAAGGTGAATCCTACAGTGCAAAAATAAAAGTCGAAGATATTCAACACAGGTCGGATACGCATACAAGTATTGTTAAATTGATGTGAAAAAACCTTCGCAACAGACTGATTTCATCTATATTTCCTAGGATGTAGCAATGAATTTGGTGCATCGTATTGTAATCAAGATTGAACCTAGAACCAAACAATCCTTTCCCGTGTTGTGTCTCGTCCTCCTCCCCTCGAGCAGCCCGGTTCTCTTTGGTCTCTATGTCTCCGAGATATCTTGAGCAGAAAGTCACGCATTCTTCCATGAGGTATCCACGTGCAATCGAACCCTCAGGTTGTGCCCTGTTCCGTACGTACCTCTTCAGAGTACCCAAGTACCGCTCAATGGGATACATCCACCGGTACTGCACCGGACCGGCCACCATAGCCTCCTCAGCCAAATGGATAGGCAGATGCTCCATTACATCAAAGAATGAAGGTGGGAATAGCTTTTCAAGATGGCATAGCGTCAAAGAAATTCTTTCTTGGATTCGCTCCAGTTCACGAACTGTGTTATGAGCTGAGCACATCGAATTGAAGAAGTTACAAAGTTCAATCAACACGAGCACAACATTTTTGGGAAGACACCTACAGGAAGTGTTGAATCAGCACCTTCAGTTATATTTAGAGGAGGCATATATCATGTTAATTAAAATAATTGCGTTTCAAGGGTATACCGTCGGGCAGCAATAGGTAGAATTCGTTGCATAAGAACATGGCAATCGTGGCTCTTAAGTCCCCATATTAGTTGTTGTTCTACCTTCACACGACGCGATAAGTTTGAACTGAACCCATGAGGTGGTCGGAGGTCCTTCAACACAGATAGGAATATCCGTTTTTCGGGGTTACTCATGGTGTACGTAGCTGCCGGCAAATATATAGCGCCCCTAGGACCCGATACCGGGTGTAAAGAACTACGTATTTGCATCAACTGTAAGTCTTTCCTCGTGTTCAGATTGTCCTTTGTTTTCCCCTTAGTTCCCAACAATGTATACAGTACATTCTCACACACATTCTTTTCAATGTGCATCAAGTCGAGGTTGTGACGTACCTCATTCTTAGACCAATAAGGGAGCTGAAAGAATATGCTCTTTTTTTTCCACACCTGTTGCTGCCCGTTCACCCCCCGGCGACGCTTGCGAGACCCCTGTGCAATGCGTTTCTCAATCAAGTCAACCGTACGATACTCAGTAGGCATATCCTGAAGCTGCTGCAGAAGTTCAGCGCCGGTCAAGCGAGAAGGCTTTCCGTCAAAGCTCATCGAACCGTCAAATGCATGTTTATCAAAGCGCATTCTATGCCCAGCCGGCAGGAACCGTCGATGCCCGCAATAGCTATACTTATGTCCATTTTTCAGGTATCTGGAATGAGTTTTTAAACCACAAACAGGGCATGCATTCGCCCCACGAGTCGGCCACCCTGACAACATACCGTAACCGGGAAAATCACTAATAGTCCACAGCAATGCAGCTCGCATCTGGAAATCCTCCTTAGTACTCGCATCGTACGTCCGAACACCATCATACCAAAGCTCCTTAAGCTCATCGATCAAAGGTTGAAGGAAGACATCAATCCGATCCCCCGGGCCATGCGGGCCGTCTATAATCGTAGAGAGGATGAACGATGGTTGCTTCATGCACAGCCACGGAGGTAGGTTATATATCACAAGTACGACGGGCCAAATACTATAACTCACACTCATATTCCCAAAAGGGTTGAAACCGTCAGTGGCCAGACCGAGGCGTACGTTGCGAATCTCCTCAGAGAACGTCGGGTACCGATGATCGAAACTCTTCCACGCAGGACTATCTGCTGGATGACGCATCTTGCCATCGTCTACACGCCCTTCGGCATGCCATCTCATAGAAGATGCAGTTTTGGAAGATACGTACCATCGCTGCAATCGCGGAATTAATGGAAAGTACCTTAACTTCTTCACTGGAGATCTATCTTTACCCTGTGTAAATCGCTTTTCCCCACACACAACACAAACCTCACGGTCAACATCTTCCCCGGTAAACAACATGCAATTGTTGATGCACGCATGGATAGTCTTGCATGTGAACCCCAAGTCCTTGGTCAGCTTATTAGCCTCATAGAAGTTCTTCGGAAGGACAACATCGTCTGGAAGTGCATCCCGTAACAGCTCTAACAGCAAATCAATAGAATTATTAGACCAGTGGCACAAAACCTTCAAGTGCAAAAGCCGTGCGATAAACGAGAGTCTACTCATCTTCTTGCACCCTGGTATGAGCTCTTTCTCTACATCTTCTAACATCTTTCTATACCCCTTACTGCCATGATGTATATGTTCATTTTCGTCATCCCTATGAGGTTCATTTCCACTGGGCCCCGGATCGGTGTGCTCTGTATATGCACACTCTCGCAATAGAAGTTCTAGTTCCTCCTCCCAACGCATTGGCATATTGTCGTTTGCAACAGCAGGGTTCACCTCTCCTTCTCCGTGGCAAGTCCAAACCTTGTAGGTTTGGTCGAATCCATAACGAATACAATGGAGCAAGACATCTCTACGAGATTTTGTTAAGCGATTTCCGCAAGATGTACAGGGGCAATAGATGCAAGATTCAGAGCTACGATCTTTAAATGCGAAATCTAAGAAAGCCCTGACCCCGTCCAAATATTGAGCGGAGATATGGTTCGCATCGTCTATCCAACTCCTATCCATCTAGCAATATAATATACATGCGATTCCATCAACAAAACATGCAACCAAAAACATATAAGTACAACATAACCTTCACCGATATAATAGGAAACATGGATGCTCTTCATGACGCTAGCATTATAATTTATCACAACATTAAGGCACATGGACCAAAATCAGCAGCCCTCACCACTTAAAAATCTTCCATAGATGCAATGTAAATAGTATTATATGGATATATTTCCCGTCACAAATGCTGGGCCGTCACAAATAGACACATCAGCAGCAAGAGAGAGTGAGAAAGAAGTGAAAAAGTTTCTGAAATTGACAAGACATGGGGAGCATGGGGGGGACATCCGTGTGTATGCTGCAACCACTATATCTATCTATCTATCTATCTATATGGGACTGGAAGATGGAGATTGAGATGGAAGACGTGTACTATAAGAATTTTGAGATAGATATACATATATATATATAGAGGTACAGAAATGGCTCTCTACCCCAATTAGAGGGATACAAATAGGAATAGTACACAGCACCAAAGCCACAAGATTCACTGTATCTGTTTCCACCAAAACTGCATTTGCATCATCTTCTTCTCACATTACTACTCTCGCCCTCATCCTTTACTCTCTACTCTCTACTCCCTACTCTCAATGCAAAGTGTAAATAAGCCCTGGATTTTATCCTTAATTTATAGAAATGCTATAATGAATATATGTATGGGTGACTGTATGTGTATACGCATACTACAAATGCAGGATAACGAAATCTGATAGTAAATTACCTACGATCAGAAAACTGAACTGCAATTCAAGAAGCATGCAACTTGAGGTATTTCGCAATTCATAAATCTTGTTAAATGCTTCCCAACAGCCGAATTAAGTTTCCTGACGTAATGTATTACTTTGTATTCTGAACAAATTAGCAAGAGGATTGAGCTAATATGTTTTAATCTAACATTTAAGCTACCAGAACAAAGAAATACCTCATAAATTTAACATACAGTAAAGCATTGCACTTGGTGTTTAACTATAAATTAAAGATAAATATCAAAAAAATAAATTCAACCAAAAAAACTCTCCTTCTGGACAAAGGAATACAAATTCACCTCAAATGTAACACACGATAAAGCCCAAACAAATGGAGTTAAAATGTAAGACTATATCCATACCGAGAAAGAGGCGAAGAACTTTGGAGTAATACCAAATCTTTCGGGAGAAAACTTAAAAACCTTACCTAGATGCCGGAGTAGATCCCTCGTTTCCGTTGATTTCACAATGCTCGTCGTCCTGCAGGTTCAGAGGAAGGAAACTCGATCGAGTTTTCTACAAGGGAGAAATGAGATTATGCCCTAATTTGTCGAAGATACCTCGCGTAATACAAAATCTTTTTCGAGCTACCTTCAAAACCTTACCTGGGTGAGGTGCGCCGGAGTAGATCCCAGGGACGGATCGATTTCACCTCGCGCGTCGTCGTCGGCAGCTACAGGAAATCGGATCGCCGGCGACTGTGAGAAGCGAACGAGGGAAATGAACCAGATGCCCTAATTTGTCTAAGTGTGGGATGATATAGCGTTTTTGTCCATTTTGATCGTTTCTGGAATGAAAGCGTCAATCCAGTATTTTACTTTTTTTTTTTTTTTTTTTTTTAATTTAACTTTTCCAAAAATAAAAAATTAAATACCAGTAGTTACGAACACTTTACGTAACTAATGTTATTTTGACCAAATTCTACCATCTCATTATTTGTTACGATATTTTTTGCGTAACGACAGAACCTAAAACGTTGACCGGGTTTTTTTTTTTTCGTCACGGATTTTGTCGTAACTAATATATCTATTTGTTACGATTTTATTGTTACGGACTCTCAACCTGTGGTGAATAGCCCTTTTTTTGGTAGTGTATGCCTAGAACTTGGTGAAAAAGTTCTGTACGAAAAAGTCAAGATTTGTGATATACTGACACTAATTAGGTTGGTGATTTTGTTGCGATTGTTGATGCATTCGACATTGAACTGTTTGGAATCAACAGTACTTTAAATTAGAAACTGAACTATTTTTTATTAAATTATTAATATTTGTACCTTCTAAGTTTTTTAGTTGTGTGTTTGGGGGCTAGTCGATTGGGTTTTTAATAATGAAATTTTGAATTTTAATAATTACTTTATGTCATATAAATAATTATTGATATGATGATTTAAATGTTAAATTAAATTTTAATATAATATAAAAATAAAAAATATGTGTTTGATTCAATGTATTAAGGCGGGAGAGTTAGTGAATGCATACGGTGAAAAACACATGCTGCTAGTTCACAAATTTAATTGGACCATCAAACCAACTAAAATAAATCCACCAGTCTGATTATAAATCAACAATAAATAAATGAAAAAAAAAAAACTCAATGAATGTAATTATTCACATTAAAATAAATATATATCCAATGCAAATAAAAATTGTAGTGGAAGCAAAAGTTTCCGAAAGATTTGAAATAATTTCTAACCCTTTAAATTATTTTTGTCGTGGTACGGGGTGCGGAGTTGGCTTTTGAAGATATTGTGGTCACGTACCGGTTGATGAATTTCTTCGGCACTATGGTGTTCCGATTGTGGCACGATATCAGTGCGGTCATAAGGTGGATGAGACCATATCACATCTCTTTACTGAGACGCCGCCCAGTGAGTTTTGGAGCACTTTGCGGCATTGTTTGGATTATCATTGCCGGAGACATACTCCGCATATACTTGTGTCTTCGTAGAGGCTTTCATCGGCGTATTCTCGGAGTGTTAGAACGTATATTCCGTTGTTGATACTATAGTTCATTTGAATTGCTCTGAACGATGTGAAGCAAAGAGGGCTTCGTATTTCCTCCGAGAGGATCATCTGGCGGATTCATTCACAAAGCTCCCAAACTGAAGATGCGTAAATACACCGGATGCCGAAGCCATCCAACTCATTCGATCTTCTGTTTGTCTGTCAAATGGAACATCACACGTTGTAAAGCGACTCTAAGAGATAAGCTCGTAATCTCCTTACATCTCACGAATCACCACTCCACATCTCCCGGGCTCAAGTCGGCGGTGGCGGCGGTAATCTATTCTCCCTAAAGGTCGAAAGGGCTGCTCCTCAAACCATTGATCATCCCAAAAAAAACACTCCCCTCGACCTAATGTCCAATATATTTATGAATATGCTTCCGCCCTAACCCAACACAAACGCTTCCACACCAGGCTGTCGTAACTCCAATTAAGAGCAAGGCTCGGAAAAGTATCGCAGAAGTATTTGTGCCTCATCGTGCTCGCTCAGAATGAAGAACTCTAACGAAGCTTCCACCAAAGCCTCATCAAAAAAGCCTGAACCATATCCGAGAGACACGTATGACCTAATCCACCCTTCTTCTGCCGTCGTGTCACATTCGCCCATGAAATCCAGTTTTGTTGTCGATCATGATACGAGCCCCAAAAGAAACGCTAACAGATCTTCTCAACCTCATGAAGAATCGTCTGCAGAGGATGTAGCACATGAAGTAATTATAGTGGAAAGGATAAAAGTGTGCTCTGAATAAGATGCAATTGGCCGCCGTGCCACAAGATAGCCCAATCCCAATGGCTCAAGTATCTCAAAAGCTTCCCTAGAAGCTCCTTGTATAAAACACTCCTCTGATTTCCCACATAAAGGGGCACACCAAGATATGTAAGCGAAAGGTTAGGTGCTCTAAAATCTGTGACTAACTGAAGCTACTACCGAACCCCCTCTAGACATTGATGACTAACCTTTTGACCGGTGATCCTTGTATAATCTTTCGTCAAAGATCTCACCCTAGCACCACAAGAACTCACAAATATCAAAATATCGTCGGCATATGCTAAATGGGACAACCTGATAGAGACGCTCCCCTCTACAACAAAAGTAAAGCTTCGGACAACCTGATAGAGACGCTCCAATCCTCTCGAAAAAGGCCCGTCGAAAGCACAAACAAGGTCGGTGATAATGGATCCCCATGCCGGAGCCCCCGGGAGGATTTAAAAAATTCCCCAAGATCTTTGTTAATCAAGACGGAGTAGTAAGCGTTCTCCACACAGTGCATCACCAACACAATAAACTCCTCTGCCAAACCGAACCTCAATAAAGTGTCTCAAAAAGCACCACGATACTCTATCATACGCCTTGTTAAGGTCCAATTTCATAAGCGCGTTGTCCGACGTGCCTTAAGGTTCAAGTTGTGAACCATCTCGGATGTCATTAGAATATTATTCGTAATCACGCGCCCCTACACAAATCCACTCTGTTGTGGTGAAAGAAAGTGCAACAATAAAGTCCCCAATCGCACCGTGAGAAATTTCGTAATGATCTTTTTGCTGTTGCAAAAATTAATAGATCGATAATGAGCCCACGACTCTGGAACATCCCTTTTCGGGATAAGGACAGTAGTGGTAGCTATATAAAACTTCAGGAGTAGAACCCTTTTTATTTACAAAAATATTTGAACCGTGCTCGCCTCTAACTCCAAACTAACACTATTTTTAAAATTTTATTTTTACTCAAATATCCTTTTTTTTTTTGACATATTTAATGAATAAAAATTGTAAACTAGTTCTAAAAAAGCAAATTTGGAAACTAAGAATCAAACATGCTAAAACCTCAAGACCTCAGTCGATCCTGAATAATATTAAAGTCATTGATCAATCAATCTGCATATCTTCTTCTTCGCGGGATCGACTCCCTCATAAGCTCATTCATGCTTATTTCTTATAGTTTGTTCATCTCCAGGCGTGAAATAGTTCTCTACTAAAAAAACGTTTCTCACTCACACCACACTTTTGTTCTTCATTGCATCAGCTGATCTCTGACAAGCCTCATCCAGAACAAACTGAGCTCAAATAATTCGCAGGCGAGGCAAGGTCAGGGAAATCATGGATCTTACAATTGGCGAACAAATTGTCGCATTTTTTTTCTTTTCTTCGACAGTTAATTGTTGGGAGGATTCTACTATATGCATGTTCAGGAAATCAATTACTCTGTCGAGGGTTAATCCGTCGACTTCAGGAAGAGGAATTATATCGGTTTTTCCTTCTTCTTCCAAATAGAGTAAATTTGTGATGAGAGATAATTGTAGAGTAATAAATTTGGAGATTTTGAATTCTTTGCCATTGAAGCTTCTTAGGGTTTTAAATTCATTTTTATCCATGTTAGTCAAAGAAGATACCTCTTTATCCATAGTCGAATGAGATGTCGCCATCAAAGAACTTTTTGTTTGAAAATATTTTCAGAATCAATATGACGTTATCCTTTCGGATCCAATTGCCCTTTGGATTAAAATAATTTTTTATTCCAAAATTAATTCAAGATTAACAACAATAAAAATTACAAATAAATAAAGAAAGGGCATGGATTCATATTTGTTTGCACTTGCGAATAAAATATACATATGAATATATGATTGCATGTGTAGACATGGATGTGAGATATCTTGCAAGATTAATCAATTGAGTTTATATTTAATAATCTCACGCATATGTATGATAAAGAAGCACACTATTTCGATTGAATGATTTTAATATCGTTTTATATCAAATCGATCTGGATTGTACATGTATAAACATCGATGGAAACACACAAATATAAACGTAGCGCCAGTCGGTTATAACACATTGACAAACTAATAATAAAAATCCACATCAATCAAATTCCGATCCATTGATCTAATAAAATATCTCTATAATTCAAAAACATAACTGCTCTAATACCACTTGTTAGAAGTTATCCTGAATTAAACCCTAAGTACAAGGTTTGTCATTTTGAGATCATTGGGATAAAAAAATAAAACAAATAAATATGATTCGGATCTACAAATTAATTGATGGAAGGTATTGTGTTCTTTAAACTTATAAGGCCACTCCTTTTGAGAAAACCCTTAGGTTTCAGTTTTTACTTTCATGATGATATATAAAAAGTAATAAATGATGCATCTAGACTTAGGATCACAATCCTAATATTAATTGGTTTCATCATCAAAATAATAAATGATTGAATTTCTGCACATAAAAAGTCCGCACTTGCTGAATACATTTAAATCCAAGCCGTTACATTTAATCCAACTTGGATTTTTAGTCCAACAAAAGAACAAAAAATAATTAAGAAAAGAGACATTTCACATAGGCGTACGTGCGCACAAGATTATTCCAAAAAGTGCATCCAACCATTCTCGTCGTCATCCCACATCTGCATCTGAAGATGATTGGAATCAAAATCCAAATCCAAACCTAAATCATCAAACAGTTTCTGATCCTCCACACGTCCTGCAGGGAACAATAAGAAGTCTCCCTCCATCCTCCTGTCTGAACTATCCAAACCCGCTGTGGTGGTGGTCGTTTCCATGGTAGATGCTGCTGCTGCCAAAGGGAAGAGTAGTGTTGAGTCGTTAATTTCAGAAATGGGATTGCAATTGCGATCATCCACCACATCACCAATGTTATTGATCATCATCTGCTCATAGTCATCATATTGTGGAGTAGCAGCAATATTGTGATCATCGCCATCATCATCATCATCATCATAATCATAATCATGATCTGATTCTGATGATAATGGCAATGGCAACGGAAATGGGGTTTGTTTCTTCTTGGTAGATGAGGAGAAGGAGGTAATTGCAGCAGCAGCAGTAGTTGTAGTACAAGTATGGGTGCCTTTGCGATGAATAGGCCTCTGCCCATATTTCCTCCTCCTAAATAATCCATCTTCTTCTTCTTCTATGATCCCTAGTCGTCGTCCTGCACCTGCACTTGCACTAATACCCTTTCTGCAATCCACCACTACAGCGCTTCTCTCAGTCTCAGTCTCAGTCTCAATCTCAGCCACCGTTAACTCCCTCTTTCTGTATCAGTACCAACCATATTAGTCGTCATTTAGTACAATATTAATAATCACACACACACAGTTTTGTAAAATAATCAAATTAATTACCTTTTATTGTTGGGAGTTTTGGGTTGAAAGAGCTGTTTGTGGGATAATGCTTTGTCGTAACAAGAGAGGATTTGATGAAGAAGGAGATTAATGTCAGAGGCAGAAACCGCCATTGAAGATGAATTAATTGAATGGGGGAGCTGCTGGATCAGTTGTTTTGCCAAATCCATTCCCTGGGACAACACCTCGGTTAATACCATTATTCCTCAATTAAGATTATTCCTTCCTTCCTTCCTTCCTGAGCAGACACACAGATAGATCGATGCACCAACTTAACCTGTTATTGACTTAATTCTGTATGTGTTCATGTTCAATTATTTGGGACATTCTGATGTATATATATATATATATATATATGTCTCGGGGGCGGTTGACATTAATATTAATATATACAAAAGAACCACACCCCCACCACACCAGCACCAACTTGAACATAATTTAGATTTATAATAAAATAACACACAAAATAATAATAATAATAATAATAATAATAATAATAATAGAGAAGAGAAAAATAAAATATACATGCAAAGAAGTACTTGACCCATTCAAAGGCACGACATACAGTTATTTGAGATATTTAATTTATTGACTAATAATTAAATATAGTTCTAGGCTTTATTTACACAACTTGAATATGCATGATTTAAATTTTCAAAAATATTAAATAAAATATATTTTTTCTCCAATAATATCATATTAAATATCACTTTCTTTTTTTTAGTTCTTCAATACTCTCTAGGGTCTAGACTATTTCACTTTCTATTTTTTGAATAATTTTTTTTTTCTTTTTTTTTATATAAGATATGAAATATTCGATTTATAATATATTTGAAAAGTTGACTTTGAGCAAATAATGTGTTGAAAATTAAATTGAATTTAAGTTAAATTGTAATTAAATTGGCCGTTAAATACTATCAATGGATAATGAGTGAAATATAATCATATCATATATCATATATATATATATATTCTAGCATGTAACCCGTGTCATACACGAGTTATTTTTAAATTAAATTTTATACTGATTTAATATTTTTTAAATAATACATATAGTTTTTATATATAATATTATTTGAATTAAATCAAATTGAAAAATAACATCTAAACAATAATTCTTTTAAAAAAATAATCTATAGAATAACAAATAACATAATAGATGATTAAAAGATACCTAGACAATAAGAATCAAACTATTATAATAATAATAATAATTTTATATTATAATTATATGTATATATGAATTTTTCAAATATTATTTCAAATCAATTTGTAAAAATGCAACATACAATAAGAACGAAAAAATTGATTAGTAAAAAAGAATAAAAACAAATACAATGTAAGTATTTTTTTTATTCTTTTTTTTTCAATTTTTCTTTTTTTTAATTTTATTATTTTCTGCATTATGGTATGAATATTACAATTAATTAGTAGAAAATAAAAAAATGCATAACTAATTTATGCATAATCAAGTTTAAAATTTTAAAATTAAATTAAAAAAATTACTATAAATATTTTATTGCATATATTAATAAAAAATACGTCTTGCAAGAATAGGAGGAAGGATAACAAATTATATTGGAAAATAAAATATGAAAGAAATACAATACAAATAACAGTGAAAAATTAATTAGTAAAAAAAAATACATGTATTCTTTTTTGCGATTGGCTGTCCTCCGCCCTGCACCCCTGAACCTCGCACCTCCTCACTGTCTTCGGCCGTCGACCGCGCTCCACTGCTGCCCGCGGACGTCCTCAAACGCGAACCATAGCTTTTCCTGTAAGTTTGGATGTGGGATTAATTCTGTTTTTTTTCCGGCCTAGTTAAGCTCTTCTGCTTTTTAATTTTTGTTCATAATGTTAGATTTATGGCTTAATTTGTTACATAGATGATGAAAGATTTTGTAATTATATGGTTCGTCTTGACACTACTTGATAATTAGATTCATTTCTTTATGCCTTACTTTATGGATGACAAATAGCCATTTCCAGAAAGAAATTATTCCTGCATTTTTACAAGTCAGAGGTTTAACTCATTACTGGGCAGCTAGATATAATATTTTTAGTTCTAATGGAATTTTTAAGTGGGAAGTTTGTTCATGGCATGTCAAGTTGCTCCTGAAGTACGTGATTAGCATAAACTTTATTTTTACAGGTAAAATTTACTATATAGTTAGTGGAGGCAGAGCACATATAAGTTTATATATATGTTGTGTATTGTTTGTATGAATGAATATTGCAATCAGAAAAGAGGAGGGTTGGGTACATCAACCGGAAGAATTACTTGGATTATAAAGTTTGGGGACCACCTCCAAATTTAATTCCAACGGGGACCACATCAATTGGTTGCCTCTCCAAACCTTCTAGAAGCTATTGTATATATGTATATATATGTGTGTGTAAGAAGATAGTGGTGCATTCTGATATAGTTCATGTTCCATGTTGATAAAGCACAACAACTGCCAAAAGCCCAGTCTAAATATACCATCATCACTGATATGTATAATATTGTTTGTGGTTTCTCTGTTACTCGTTACTGCTTTTATAAAGTGTTCTGCTAATTCTTCGATCTACTCATGTGCATTATGGATGACACAAGGCATCTTTGAAATTGAATAGGTGTGTCATACCCGCCATTGAGGGACAACGTACTTTTGGGTAGAAGTCTAAGCGTCGATCCAAGCTTGCTGCATTGTAGTAAGTTATTCATACACCAATAGTATATCACATTACTTGTATAGTTTTTATGATATGAACATTCGAATTATAGTGCTAATATTCATATTTTTAGTTCAATACTACTATTTTCGGTGGTTATATAAGCCGAGGCAGGTTAGTATTAAGAACCAACCTGAAATAAGTTATCTTAGGGTCTGAAAATTATTTACATGGCACGCTATTAAAGTGGTACTTATATCTTGATCCACATTACAACATGTGTTTAATTAAGTGCATACGATATATGTTAATGGGATTATGAAAAAAATATCTTCAAACTTTTTCTTTCTTAGATGGACAAGAGTTGGATTGACGAATCGAACCATACTTCGTCTACTTATTTGGATGGTGTGCTACAATTCTTAAACTATGCTTTTCGTGGGAGGGACATAGACTCGGTTGTATATTTCCCATGTAGGACTTGTTTAAACCATGCCACTAATACTTGTAGGGAGATATTGCTTCATTGCATTAGGTATGGGTTTGACCCGTTTACATAGATTTATTTTTGATGTAATTTATTTGTTAGGTATTTGGATACATTAACACTCAATTAATTGTTGTTTTTAAATTGGTACATGGTTAAGTTGGTTGTTTAAACAAACAACTTTCACATGTATCAAATAAATTGTTCACATTGCTGGTGGTTTTATACTTGTGGGTAGGGGTGGAAATAGGCCAGGCGGCCTGTCAGGGGCCTATGACCTGGCCTACATCAAGCCTGGCCTGGCCTGTTCTATTTATTAGAAAGGCCAGGTTCAGATTTTTGTTAAAGCCTGTTTATATATACAGAATAGGCTTAGGCTTATGAAAAAGCCTATTTACTAAACAGGCCGGCCTGTTTAATAATAATATTATTATTATATAAAATTATTTTTTATTATTATAAAATAAGAATAGTTTTATATATAATAATGATATATAAAAAAAAATTTAATTATAAATTTATTAAAAAAAAACAAAAATAAAAATAATTTTTATCCCAATAAAAAATTTCAAATATGAACAACTACTGCACACATGTTCCTTTTTTTGTTTCTTTTATCATAATTCAAATATTATCCCGCTGTAAACTGAACAACAACTGTCCATATTCCTTTTCCACCGCTGCAAGCCTGCAACTGCTGCCAGACCTCCACGCCGTCCAGGGTTTTGCAATCTTCTTCACAGAGACCCACTACTTTTCTTTTTCCTTCTTCTGTCTTCATCGCCTCTTCTTTTTTATTGCTACCGGTGGAATTTGGAAAAATAAGGTAAATATCGTTTTTATATGTTTTTTTTCGTTATTTTTATTTAGATATGAATTTCAATATATATATATATATATATTTTTTTTGTTATATTTTATTTATCTTATATTTTTTTTTATGACGTTTTTTTTGTTTTTTTATAACGTCATTTTTTTAAAATAGTTTTGTTATTTTTATTTTTGTGTTTTATATTATTTAGATTAAAATGAAAATTTTATATTTTTGTAGAAAAATATAAGATATATATTTACAAGAATGAACAGTTTCTGATATTTTCGTTTATAATGTATATCATTAATTAAATAAATTTTTTTATTTATTTTGAAGCAGGATATGGCTTCGATGGATGAAACAAATATTTTTGATCTTCCATCTGATACACACAATAGTATATCAGTGGATTCCCTTTCAAGCCAACCTGTGGATGATAACAGAAATGAAGACGAAAGGAATTCAAATCAAGCAAATGAAGGTGCCAATAGGAAAAAAAGGAAAAAAACTTCAATTGTGTGGAATGACTTTGATGAAATTCAAGTTGCTGAAAGTGTTAAGAAAGCTATTTGCAAATACTGTAAAAATGCATTTGCTACTGGGGGAAGAGGTGCGAGCACAAGCCATCTAAAGAGACATTCAGAAGGGTGTTTGCAGAGGTCAGTACAAATGGCTTCACAAAAGAAACAATGTGTCATTCCTTTTAAGCCATCCAATTCAAGTAATCCGTTTATAAGTCTGGGGTTTAGATTTTCTAATGAAAAGATGAGGGAAGTCATTGCCACTTCTATTATGGTACATGAGTATCCTTTTAGCATTGTAGAAGACGATGCTTTTATATGGTCATTTCAGTATGCGAACCCTGAATTTCAGAAAGTTTCTCGTAAGACGATACGAAGTGATTGCATAGCAATATATGAAGCAGAAAGAAAAGCATTGAAGGAATTATTAAAGAGTGTGAGCAAGATTAGCTTGACAATAGATATGTGGAAATCCAGTCATCAAGTGATTGAATATATGGTAATCACTGGTCATTTTATAGATTCTGGGTGGAAGCTTCAGAAAAGGATTTTAAGCTTTGTCAAGGTGCCTGCTCCAAGGCGAGGAATTGATGTAGCCAATGCCATTTTCAAATGTTTGAAGGCTTGGGGGATCGAAGATAAAGTGTTCTCAGTATCAGTTGACAATGCTTCATATAATAACTCGTGCTTGAGGTATCTAAAAGACTACATATCACGCAGCACCAAGCTTGTCCTCGATGGAGCTCTATTTCATGTTAGATGTTGTGCACACATATTGAATCTTTTGGTGCAAGATGGGCTTAGTCGAATCAAAGATATCATCCATAATGTTCGTGAAAGTGTGAAGTATGTAAACTTCAATGATTCAAGATTGAAGAGTTTTGGTGAAGTAGTTGAACAAAAGCATCTAAAAGAAAGGAAGTTGATAATTGATTGTCCAACAAGGTGGAATTCTACATATCACATGTTAGCCGCTGCTTTAAAATTCAAGATTGTCTTCTCAGAATACCAAGAAAGAGAACCTCATTATACATTTGCACCTTCAAATGAAGATTGGGAGAAAGTCGAGAAAGTTTGTAAACTTTTAGAGGTTTTCAACTTAGCTACCAATTTAATATCTGGAAGTGAATATCCTACTGCCAACTTGTATCTTTCAGAGGTCTGGAAAGTGAAGCAAGTAATTGATGATGCGACAAAGGATGATGATCTTTTTATGATACAAATGGCAACGCAAATGAAAGAAAAGTTTGATAAATATTGGGGTGAGTGCAATCTATTGATGGCTGTTGCAAATGTATTGGATCCGAGAGTTAAATTTCATGGTGTTGAAATATGTTTTCCAATGATATACAAGTCTGAAGAAGTTGCTGCCGAGTATGTGAACAAAGTGCGTGCTTCACTGCAACAACTATATAATGATTATGTGGCCTTAAGTGTTGAAGAATCATCCTCAAGTCAGTGCAATATGGCTAACATCTCCTCTGCCACCACCCAATCTGAATCTGCGATAGTTACTGGGTTTAATCAAATTATGAGTCTTGTAAGAGCAAAAGAAGCAATTCCTGTATCAAAATCTGAATTGGATGCCTATCTCGAGGACAGTGTTTATATTCCTGATGGAAATATGTCTTCATTTTGTGCCTTGGAGTGGTGGAGGAACAACAGCATGAAATATAAAGTTTTATCGAAGATGGCTGCTGATGTACTTGCGATTCCAATATCAACAGTAGCTTCAGAGTCTACATTTAGTGCTGGAGGTAGAATTATAGATGAATATCGTTCAAGATTGAATGAAGAATCTATTGAGACACTAATTTGTGGAGGAGATTGGCTTCGACATAAATACAACTTGAAAAAAAAGAAGGTAAATTTTATTATTAACTGTCTTTTCTTTATCTTATTCATCACCCACAATATATTTTTTTCTAATAAAAATATTTCTCTCATTTGAAGGTGAATGAGTCTTTGAAGGAGATAAGCTTATAGATTAAAGAAGTTCTTTAATACTTTGGTTGCGGTACGTTTTAAATTTATAATATTTTCTGAAATTTTTTATACAGATTAATTGTTTGAAAATCTGATTTTTTTAGTAAGATATTGTTGTTGCATGATGTATTTTGGGAGGATTCAACTTTGATTTTCTGAAATTTGTTGCAGGATGTATTGTTTGAAATATTTAGATAGGTTTGCAGGTGGTTGTTTTGATATTACAATTATTTATTTATTTTTTTTAAAATATTTGGATAGGTTTGCAGGTGCTGAAATTTTAAATTTTGATTTCAGGAGTGGAAATGCTAATGTCCAGAAGATATTATTGATCTATTTGCTATTTTTCTCTTGAAACTTTTATTGTATTGGTAAGTAAGATATTCCTTTTTTCTTTTTGTTCTAATATAATTTTTTGATGCTTTGCGTAATTTATATATAGAAGGAAGAAATTTCAGATATAATACTAATTTGATCAACTTTTGTACTTGAACAGATTTAATGGTTTCAGAAACTTTGGGGGAATTTGCAATTCTTGTGGCTTGTGGCCTGTGGGTGACGTGAACTTGAAAAACTATGTTATTAATTTCTAAATATTTTTGTCGAATTTTTTAATATTGCTTCTGAGTTAGCGTTGCTTATTTCTTTGTTAGAACAATCAGCTTAATGACAATAGATTGATGTAAACTTTTTTTTTTTAATGTCATTATGCAGTAATTTCTATCAGCTTTTGTCTGGAGTTTGCAAGACTTATTCCCAATAATTATATATATATTTGAATGAATTGTAATATACGTTTTTTTGCAAATTATTAGTATAATATATTGTATTTTTATATGGCAATAAAAATGATTATTTTTCTCATTAAAAAACAGAATTTTTTATTTTTTTATATATAATATAAATAATTGTATCTGTTTTATTTTTTATTTATAGTACGAAATTTACAAAAAAAAAAAATAATAATAATAATAATAATAAATTATTATGTAGCCTTTTAAACAGGCTCGTAGGCCAGGCCAGGCTTTTAAAAAGGCCAGGCTCAGGCTTTAAAAATATTTTTTTTCAGGCTGGTAGGCCAGGCTCAGGCCATATCTTTTTAAGACAGGCCAAGCCTATTTAACCAAAGCCTGGCCTGGCCTGGCCTATTTCCACCCCTACTTGTGGGGGTGTGCAAATGTTGGCCCGGATGTCATCAAGATAGGATCCATGCTATAATTATACTTATACTAATCTATGTTTTACAATTTTGATTACGTTTATGTATGGATGGCTAAATTAGGCGATCATCTCCAACTTTTTCTCTTACGTATGCTATAATGTTTTAGTTAATATCTTTAATCTTTTATATTGATTAAATATTTCATGATTTTATTTTCTTACCGATGATTTGCACATATTTTCTTTATATGTCCGTAGGTGACATTGTTGACATAGTAAGGGTTTTTGTTACAACTGCTACTGTTCCGGAGGCTGCGCTTATTCTACTGACAACATCTGGAGCACAAACACTCGGTGAGGTTGTCCGCAGCGAGCCAATCGACTGGACATTCAAAGATGTACGCAACCATATTTACAAGATTTTCTATTTGATTACAACTTAACCATCTCACAAATAAATTCTTATATAATTTTACACAATGTTGGCAGCTTGTTTGTCGCCCGTAACTACGGTGTACGGCCACTTTGACGCTGCATGGGGCGTTGCAGCATGGCACGTAGTTCTATGCTAATTGACTTTTGTTTGTGGATTGATGCTAACTAAGTCCTTTATGTTGGTTGAACTTGCTGTCTCTGCTACATTTTGTGTGTTTGTTGCTACGTTTTGTCATATATGTTAGCTATTGTGAAATATTTATGTTTTTACACAGTGCGTACTTGCTACAATTCATGGTGATACTGAATTTCCGTAATATTTCCATATTTTGTAATGTTATTTGGCCGTATTTTCTCACAGCGTACAGGTTTTTCGGTTCCGAAACTATTTTTTTAGGTTATTATTGAAAATATAAGGGGACTTTTTTCATTACAAAAAGTTGGCCGTTACAAATACTGGTACAAAAAATATTAAATAAGTTACTGAAAACCAACTATTGTAACGAAATTATTACCGCAACAAAAGCCGTTACAAGTGGATGGACACTTATTGTAACGATTCTTTTATAACAGTAAATGTCCTCTACAAATAAATCGACAGTACAATGATAGCGTTACAAACACTGTTACAATAAATGCGTTGACCGACCCTTTTTTGTTGCGGAAAAAGTCGGTACATAGACTTTTTGTAATCGAGTATATGCACCGGTCAAAATCCGGTACAAAATCATTACAAATAGCTTTTTGTACCAAAAAATGGTCATTTGTTGCGGTTATTGAACCGCTACAAATGGCCATTTTTTTTGTAGTGAATGTTAGGTAGATAGTACAGTTACTAAAAAATGAAATAGATACTTTGTTAGGAGACGGACTAAAATGGAAAAATGGATACTTTGTTATGGGACGGGGAAGTATATAGATAAAAAAATAAAAAATAAAAAATCCTAATTTTATCCATATTTTGTTATTTATTATCCAATAAATTCTAATTTTATTGGATTATTTGTTATTCTAATACATTTTAAGTAATTATTCAAATTTAATATTTAAAAATAAAATAAAATTTTAAAATTACGCACAAATTAAAATGTTTTATCAACCATATATAACAAATAATCTAACAAAATTTATGTTTATTGTGATAATAAATAAGAAAATTATGGATAAAATTAGAGGTTGGTACATCTATATATACTTATTTTTAATTCCCTAAATTTTTCTGATTTAAAATAATTTTGATTTTCTTTTTAAAAATCGTATTTTTTTTATTTTTTTAATATATTTTCTCTTATTTTTTTTATACAACCAAGTTGAAAATTTGAGGGAGTGTTCGTGATTCATTGATCTTTCAATCCAATGGTAAGATTTGCAATCGGATATATATAGTTCGACCAAAATTTTATATAATGTGACAGAATTTTTTTGCACGAAACACCTTTATTGTTTAAAACTGATGTTTGGTTCTAAATAATGACCTAAATTATGCAAGTTTAATAACAATAAAAAACCGTAAAATATCTAAAATAAATTTTGAAATAAAATAAATAAATAAATAATTTATCAATCATTTATTTTTATCATTTTTAAAATCAGATAATAATTTGTCTAAAAAAATTACAAATTTAGGTCTTTATTTAAAATGAAATATCAATTTTGGACAATAAGGCGTTTCGTGCAAACTTTACATTAATATAAAGGGGTTTGTGCATTTTTATTAAGACACTAGGAGTGTTATATAATTTACCCTAATTTTTTTTAAGTTAGTAATTTTGTCAATTAGCACAATGGTGCGCATTCTTGAAATGACTCTTATATACAATTTGATCATAGTAGATTTTCTTTTTTGATTTGGTTGACCTGTTATTTTAATTTTATCTTAAATTTTTATTTTTTTTTATGTTAAAATGTTTTATACTTTTTATTTTATTTGCAATATAATTATTATTATTAATTATTTCTCATATTTTTGCAAGGAATTGCATTTTCTTTTAAAATTATTTATTATATCTTTTTTACTAATAATTTTTTTCATTCTTATTATACATGTATTTTTTCAAATTAATTTGGTTGTTAATACAATATTTTAATAGATTTTTGAATTTTGAAATTCATGTTCAAATTTTTAAATTTTTTTATTTGAAAAATTCATATAGAAAATTACTATAAATTTTAACATATAAAGATTTTATTTTTATTGTATTCTCATTGTGTATGTATATTTTAATTATTTATTTTCTTATTTTTATTTTCTATAAATTATTCCCTCCGTCTTTTAACAATCTATCCATTTTTTTTTATTTTGGTCATTCCTATAACAAAGTATATATGTCCTTTTTAGCAACTGTACTGTCTACCCACTACAAAAAAAAAATAGTATATTTGTAACGGAATTTCGTCACTAAAGATCACGTAGCTAACGTAATTCCATCATTAATTCCATCTCTAATATCTTAGTAACGGAAAAAATGAATTTAAAGATGGAAAAATCTCGTTACAAAAATGATATTTTCTTGTAGTGACCTAACATTACAATATATTACTGAAATGTTATTAGCTTATTATCATACAATAGTAATAAAGTTAATTTAGTCTTTTTACTTTTATTTTTACTATATCCCAATATAATGCTAATATTTCTAAAACTCCGTGCAAAAAGCAAACGGGTAGATAGATATGGGACTGAAGGAGTATATGTTTTAATTTTTATTATGGATGTTATTTTTCAAATTGATTTGATTCAAACAATATATTATATATATAACAAATTAAAATTATTATTTATAATAAATATTAAATCAATATATAATTTAATATAAACTAAAAATGTACATAGCACGATTACCGACTAATATATATATTTGACAAGTCATTATAATTCATGTGTTCTCATAATTTTAGAATTTTATATTATTATTTTTCTAATATTGAATTTAGATAATTGTTTAGAATATGATAGAATAGAAAATAATCTAATAAAGTTAGAATTTGTTTTAATTTATTATGAAGACCGTGTAAATATAATATAGATATATTATATCCATACATATTCTAACATGTATTTATATAAAACACAAATGTGTGTTTTATTTTTATATTATTATTTTTTTAATATTGAATTTGGATAATTATTTAGAATATGTTAGAATAGAAAATAATCTAATAAAGTTAGAATTTATTTTAATTTATTATGAAGACCGTGTAAATATAATATAGATATATTATATCCATACATAATCTAACATGTATTTATATAAAACACAAATGTGTGTTTTATTAAATTTGTCGAAAAAAAAAATTATTATTACATATATTTTTCATTTAATTTGTATCCTAACAACTATTATTTCATTATATTTTGAATAATATAATACACAGGTTTGTAATATTATATTTTGACTTTTTTCTTTTTACGTTTATTAATGTATATATTGTCAGTTATTTGTGAATCGTCAAAAGTGAAGAACTCTATCGTCGATAGAAATCAATTTTGTTGTTGGTCAAATTTATTGAAATTTCATGTGTGTATCAGTATCAAGTGTGGATCCGATGAAACAGTAGGTATTTAATTTTTTCGGTTTCAATTCTATATTTGTTGCTTGTTTTTATTATTGTTTATTTTATTTTTGTTATATTATTTATATATATTTTTTTTCAAAACTATAAGTTAAGAACATAGAAGAAATTATGATAAAAAAATTAAGAACTTAGTTTTTTTTTTTTTTTTTCTCATCTCTATCTATGGAATTCTTTAAAATTTATTTTGATTTTCAATTTAATACAGATTGGATAAATAGTTTTTTTTAATCTATATTAGATTTGAATATAAATTACAATTTGCATTAATTATATATTTATTTATTTATTTTCTATATTTTTTGTATTTGTTTATATTATAGGCTATAAATAGGAATGAAACAACTATACAAACATAAAGAATGTATTTATTTTTCACCAACACATATGAATTATTCTCAAATATATTTGAAGTTTTTTTATTATATTGTTTAAATAATCAATTTTATTTTCATATGTGCATGTATTTTATTAATTATTTATTTTATTATTCTTATTTTTTACAAATTAAAT